CAGCAGCACATCATAGGCTAGCCTGGGACTAACTTTGTCTGAGCATGGGATGGGAGGCCATGCAAAGCCTTCATCTGCATTGTAAGCACTGACTTCTTGGGAGGGGGGGGGGAGACACTGGCGCTGGAGCGCCCAAAGAAAAAAAATGGTCCTCAGCACCACACCCATGGATCAGTACCTTCCTTCCCCACCTTCCAGTGCCTCCCACCAATCAGGCCTGGTCAGCATCTCCCCTTCCCTCCCAGTTCCTCCCATCCACCACGATCAGCAGTGCAACATTGTGCAGGAGGCACTGGGGGTGAGGGGACAAGACAGGAAGTAGTGGTTGAAGGAGGTCAGGTAGGGGCATAGTGACAGTAGGAAGAGGTGCGGGGACTTGGGGAAAAGGGTGGAATGGGAGCAGAGCAGGGGTCAAGCACCCCCCCAGGAAATGAGGAAGTTGGTGCCATTTCACCATGAAAAGGAGCTAGTCAAGATAACAGTTGTTGCACTCCCAGAATACTAGGACTGTGTGAGACATTAGCATCTCTCAGTCGTACAGAACAAAGACAAGACATGCTCCCATCCATACTTCCCCTCCACTAGCCAACGGAGTCACGCTGGTGTGCTGGGTGGATGTGCAGGCTGCCTTCTGTCCCCTGGCATAGCATGGGTAACTCCCATTGTACTGCACACCTCCCCAGAGACAGTGTGCAATGCCTGAGAGCCATGTTCTAGCCCATTATGCATACAGGATGTAAGATATAAAATAAATTGATGCTGATATAGGACTTAGTGTGCTCTAGTGGATGGAGCACAGCCTGGGATTCAGGAAACCTAGGTTCAAGGGTTGGCTGTGTCACTGACCTATTGTGTGACCTTGGGTAAATTGCTTCACCTCTTTGTGCCTCTGACCGTCCCACCTTTATCAGTTCAGATGATAAGACTTTTGGGGCAGGGACTGTCATGGTGGAGCCTTTGTCTTGGTTGGGACATCTGGTCACTTCCTTAGTCAGCCACCCTGTGCTAGGCCCCTAGATGATCCCTGCCATGGGTCCCACAGTTTACCATCAATATGAGGAACCATCCCATCCATAGGACTGTTGGGGCAGACACCCTGGGGTCCCCCAAAGTGTGGGGCCTGGGACAGCCACTCCGAACTGTCCTATGGACAGGAGGGACAGCTCCGATTCTCTGTGTGTCACTGTGAAATCTGGAATTGCTGTTAAATCAGTATGATACGATGGAAACAGCTGCATGCATGGTTGAGAGCTCTGTTTGTTCAGTATATCACCAGGTTCAGTCATCACTGGGATTCGTGATTTATTACCATCCAGTTCTTAAGTTCTCAGTCATTCTGATTTTATGAATTACACCTGTGTGACAGCAAGGCATGTATCTACGTCAAGCCAAGAGTCCTAGCAGAGTCACTCAGCAGAGTCACTCAGCAGCCTGACTATACAGCTAATTTGCATGCAACAATTTCATTGGCTAGATGAAGAAGACTGCACTGATTGATTATAGCCCAATTACCACAGCTCTTCTAAACCACTTCTGCATCCACATGCCCAGCACACACCATAACCCCAACACATATTGCCTCTTCACTGCAGCACGCACCCCACATTCACCACCTACCCACTTCAACACAAACCTCCCTAGACTGTCATCTTGTGTGTCACTGTGAAGCCTAGAATACCGGAGACAGTGTGGCTCAACAGAAACAGCTACAACCATGGTGGACAGCTCTGTCTGTTTAGAATGTCACATGGTTCATTCATGATGGGACCCTGTGAAAACCAGATGGAATGGTGGAGCCCAAAGGTTCTGTGGCAGTTGGAAAATGGCAGTTGATCAGAGAAGGTGGGAGTAACAACTCTGCAGGACAACAAGGTGGCTGTTACTCCAGCCAGGGGGCAGAGCTGTGCACGCACTTAGGGGAAGATATGCAACCAACAGCATCACTCACCACAACCCAGTGCTCAGAAACGAGCCCGATTTGTGTCTTTTTTTACATGTGACTTTATGAATTACATTCATTCCACAGCTGGACTTTCAGCTACTAGTAATAACAACAATAATAATAATAATGAAAGTGAAATTCAGGAATCCTCAGGGGAGAATAATTTATTTGTTTTTCATCTGCACACACACAACTCTTGCTGTTACAGATTCTGCCCATTAAAGCTTTGATTTCTAAGTGCAGTGGTAAACTCTAATCCAGTGAAACTATTTTCACAATGAAAGTAGGAACATAAACCCCAAATACTGAGCCTTGTATTAGAATTATCCTTTTATGAATCCCTACATAGAAGGAAGTTGGTCTCAAGATAAAAATGGCCTTGGCTGTTGGTTTCCACTTCATTTGTGATGCTTCTGTGAACATTTGCTCACAGTGTAGAGCAGGTGAAGTTTTTCAGACTTTCACATATTGCTATTTAAGCTTCAGATGGTCTCAATACAAGAGTCAAGCCTGAACATACCTCATATATTGTGAAGTTAAAATCTGAACCTAGATTTAAGTTTTGTGGCTTGCCTATCTCTAATTCAAAGAGGTCTGGTCAAAAGTAGAATTGCCAGAGTGAAGAAAACTTTTCCTTGTGTCAGGTATGAAACATAAACTTGCTTACCTTTATTTTTTCATCATAGCTTCTTTAGCTTGACACATTTGTTACTTATTGAACATATTGTATTGGTTTATAAACAAGATCTGCTCTCTCTCATCATTCCCTTATTAATACTTTTAATGTTATTATTTGCATTACCCCTTGTTATTGATTCTTCTGTGAAGTCACTATGCTAATTTGTTTTATCTCATGATTTTTCCAAAGCAGTGAGCACTGGATAATGGTCATTGCAAGAAATTAATACTGCAGTAAGAGGCTTTCTTCTCTGTGGGTTTGTACTAACCCAATACTTTAGCATGATTATAGATACAGTGTGCTATTGAAAGTTCTATGTTTTAACATGAGATTTCAAATCAAGGTCTTTAATATTCACATGGCACTTCTGGTGAGCATGGGGGTAGTTACCAGATTTCAGTCTGGGTACTTTCTGTCATCCTAAAATTCCTCTCTACTTTTTTCCCCTTGGCTTAGTCACGGACTGATGTTTAGTGTTCCTGTACGCTATGAATCACCCCAGAAGTGGCAATATTTCATATAGGTGATGGAAGAGATTCATGAACCTAATGAATACTGCAATGAAAAGCATAGTAGGATGGGACATAACAAACTATTACTTCACTGACTGTTCCCCTGATTAATGGATTGTATCAGCATGTACACCCCTTACAACACTGGCCACTCTGCTCCCATGCATATATTATTAACCGTGAGATACTAGCTAATCTACAAAAACTTATGCTTGTGTGTAACTTTACACATTGCAAGGAATCCCTCTGGGTTTTATAATGTTTGTGGAGGGATTAGTCCTGAGGACACAAAGACCAGAGTCATTCCTGATGCTTATAGAGTAAGTAAAATGAAGAAAAGGCTCTTTGCACCCTCTTCTGTTCCTCATAGCTTCCTCCTGTGCTTAGGACCAAACACTGTTTGGGTCCTCATTTTAAATGGTACAGAAAATTAAAGTATAGCTGCGACCTTCAGGTCCCTTCTAAAATCATGTTTCACAGTTAGTCCCATTAGCCTCAGGCAAAAAAAAAGGATAATCACAGCGCAGTCTCTGGAAGCACAAGGATTAATAACCCCTGGAACTTAAGTAATGACAAAAGATTCATGCTGATGTGAAGAAGAAAGATGCATGTGTGGTTCAAGTTCATCTTGGCAGAGTTACATGGAAAATGCCAGTCCAGTAATGTTAATGCTGTCTGAAAATGAAATGTACAAGAGGGCTGTGACCGTAATGGCTCATTCAATCAGTGAGTGTGAGCTGCAGCCAAAGAAGCTGTAGTCACTAGTAACCTCCCTCTGCATCTCCCTCCCAAGTGCACAGGGTGACTCTTCTCCACAAATACACATCAAGGTGACAGAAGACATCAACAACGAGAGGGTTTGGTTATCTTGCTAGAGAATTGCTGCTCTCTGGTGAGAGAGACGTGAGCAGAGATGTTCTTGCTGCTGACAATGCTGGCTGAGGCTAATGGTTTCACCTATGACTTTGGGGCTAGTCACAATTACAGCCTCGGATCTGACCTTGCAAGATGCTGAGCGCTCTCAGTTGCCCATGAAGTTAAATCACAGCCAAACTAGAGCAGGTGTCCTGGAGAGGCGAGGTGAGACCTAGAGCCAATGGGAGCTATGGGAAGGCACCTGAAGGCAAGGGCCGAGTGTGGATGGACCTTCCCTGATCGCTCCGAGCTGGCACTCACAGCTCCAGCCCACCAGGCAGGGCTGGATTAACTCAGGGCTTTAGTGGCTGCAGCCCAGGTCCCCAGCGAAGGCAAACCCCACAAAAAGATCTGGACTTTTGGTGGCCCAGAGATCTTTTTGCAGGGCTCACCTTAGCTTGGGGCCCTGGGCTGCAGCCCCTAAAGCCCCTGTGTTAATCTGGTCCTGCCCATCATGATATTACCTAAAGCCCTCCGGACACTAATACAATGCTAATCAATGTGACAATTAAGTGTCTCTTTACAAATGTTCCACTGTTATGTGTGTAACCCACACAACTTCTGGGTGTGGTGCATTGTTCCATCACGTGGCATTGAGAGCACTTACAGAGAGAATAATGAGTCTGTTCTACAGCCTTAGCTGAGAGTCAGCTAGCTTTTAACTCATGTGGTAGAAGCTCCTGCACTAAGCTCCAGAGATATCAGGTTCAATTCTGCCTGTTGGTATTACATGTGCACCTAATTATCATCCTCCAGTAGATAAGAGTTTTCTCCAGGGGCACCCATGGCACTGACCCATTTTTACTCTTCATTCTCCAACAATGTGGGCTATAATAACTACTTCCCTGGCAGTTAGGTTCTCTAGGGTAGTGGTTCTCAAATAGTGGCCCACTAAAGGCTTAGCCTGAAAACTGAAGAGAATTCAAACTACATATACAGACAGCAGATTTCCAAAGGGATCTGTGCCTTCATTCAAAATTTTTGGAGCCTCTGCAAATGAAAAATGGTTGACAACCACTACTCTAGAGATCTGTGACCAATAAAAGGTTGTTACAAAGAGGAGGGAGAAAAGTTGCTCTTCTTAAGCTCTGTTGATAGGATAAGAAGCAATGGGCTTAAATTGCAGCAAGGGAGGTTTAGGTTGGATATTAGGAAAAGCTTCCTGTCAGGGTGGTTATGCACTGGAACAAATTGCCTAGGGGGGTAGTTGAATTCCCATCATTGGCAATTTTAAGAGCAGGTTAGACAAACATCTCTCAGGGATGATGTAGGTGGTGCTTGGTGGTGCCATGAGTGCCGGGGACTGGATATGATGACCTCTCAAGGTTCCTTCCAGTTCTGTGATTCTATGATGTTTTCCCTGGGTATGTCTACACTAGCCCCCTATTTCGGAATAGGGAGGCTAATGTAGGCATTCGAAATTGCAAATGAAGCCTGGGATTTAAATATTCCTGGCTTTATTTGCATATTCCCGTCCAGTCACCATTTTTAAATTTCACTAGTCCGAAATAACTGCCCGCGTCTACACGCGGCAGTGAACTGGTTCCTTTGAAATAAAGCCTTATTTCAAACTACCTGTTAAACCTCGAAGCTTTATTTCGAACTACCAGTTCACTGCCGCGTGTAGATGCTGGCAGTTATTTCAGACTAGTGAAATTTAAAAATTGCGACCGGATGGCAACGTGCAAATGAAGCCCGGGATATTTAAATCCCGGGCTTCATTTGCAATTTCGAATGCCTACATTAGCCTCCCTATTCTGAAATAGGGGGCTAGTGTAGACATACCCCCTTAGGTTAGTCGGGGGGGAGAACGGGGTCACCAAAAAGTAGTGCAAAAAACTCTTTTATCCTTACCTTCTTCCCCCTGAAACAAATATCATATGAGCTGTGCACCGTGACCCAGACTTGCTCCTACACGGGACTCCTGAATGTTGATGACCCCACCATGTAGATGACCCCAGCAGGCCATACAATAGCTTCTGCTCTTTTGTGTGTTTTCTTTTAAGCAGACAAAAGCACACAAAGGCTACATCTACACTGCAGCGCTATTTCGGGATACCTCCAGTATCCCGAAATTGCTATCCCATGTCTTAACAGCAAGCCCATTATTTCAAAATATAACAGGCTCACTATTCTGACATCCCTGTAAACCTCTTTCCACGAGGAGTAAGGAACTTTTTGGAATAGCAATTTATTTCAAAATAAGTGCTGTGTAGGCAGCACCAAATGATGAAATAAGTTATTTCAAAAGAACATTGAAATAAGATATGCAATTTGCATAGCTCAAATTGCATATCTTATTTCGACCTATGGTTCAGTGTAGATGCACCCAAACAGAGCCAAGAAAGCAACTGAGCTCCAGAGGGGTAACTTGTGCACAATTTACTTTGCCTACTTTGCAAAGGCAACAGGTTTTCCTGCTTAGGAAAAATGGATGTCTCAAGTAATTCATGGTGGGATTGTAACAAATGTTTATACATAGTTGAGCAAATTCTCTTCTCAGTTTCAGTTGTGCAATCTTGTTGACTTCAGAAGAGAGTGCAGGTACATACGTGGCTCATAAGTTATTCATGTGTGCAGAGTTCTCAAAACTGGGAGCTATATTTCAGCTTAATGAGTGGAAGTGACAGATCTGGCAGAATTCTGAACAAGACTGCAGGTAGAATGAAACTACTAGAGAAAAAATACACTGAGGCTGGGGGGGCATGTAAAATGGTAAGTAGCAGGGACAAATGCAACATTAATCATTTGGTCTTCTACAATATCTTTCATCTAAGGATCTTGGAGTGATTTTTTCAAACATTAAACATTGCCGCTCCTCTGCAATACAGGTACTTAAAATATTTCCATGTTACAAATCAGGAAACTGAGGAACAAAGAGGAATAAGTAACCTGCACAGGTTCATGTAGTGAGTCAATAACAATGCAGAGAGTAGAGTGGAGGGCTTCTGGCTACAAACCCCTTGCTCTAATTTTTAGACTACATTTGTAGGGCAAAACAAACAAATAAACAAAAAACCATTGATCAAATCTATAGCAAGAGGAAAAAGCGATCTGGGGCAGTGGCTGCATGCTTCAGCCTGTCAGTATTAACTGGCCCTTTATAATTCAGATGCCTGGTTCAGTTTCATTTATTGCAAGACTGTGATTAACCCAATGAGAGTCTGTCTACATCCCAGGTGAGAGATGTGAATCTGTCTGTCCATGCTATAAATCACACTAGCTATGCACAAACCAGCATGCTAAAAATACCCATGTGGACTTTTTGGCACAGGGAGGGGCTCACACTAGCCACCTGAGTTTAGGCCCAGGGATCAAGCAGGCAGATGGATGCTGCCAGCTAGCCTGTGCCTCCACCTGTTTGGCAACATCCAGAATTCTATTTTTAGTGCATCAGCCTCAGTCTGTCTACTAGTGCTGGGAATCACACCTCCCAGTTGCCTTAGAGTCTGATCCTGTTTCCAATGACTTCAGTGGGAGTAGCATGAGGCCCTAAGAGAAGAGCCAGAAGGTTTTATGGGACACATTTGGCATGACC